GGGCTGTTGCGCTTGGTTCTTGGTTCTTCCTCCCCTTGTGAAGCAAGAGGAGATAAGAGATCTCCACCATGCCCTTTCTTTTAAATGAACAACCTGTTTTCTTACTGCTTATGGTACAATACAAAGGCATGGAGATAAATCGTGTGAGCTGTTAAGCAACAAAGACTCAGGAGAACTTGACAACGGGAAATTCTCAGCCTACCTACATTACAAAAGATGCAAAAATGAAGAGATTCATTGTCTTAGAAAAGTGAGGGGAAAGCATGCTCTGGAGAGAAATTCAACGGCATAATTGGTCAGCCTTTTCCTAGTGCCTCTAAAGGTTCACACATTCAGAATAGTTCCTTGTGTGAGGGCTCTTTGAAGAGGCTGGGCAATGACTCATGGATTCCCTCAGATGTCTCAGCAGAAACCAAGAATAGATGGGATTACCAGCAAAGCTCTCTGGAGAAGCCTCTTCTCTAGTGGAGTGAATCCCCCCATACATGAGGAACCCGTGAGATTCATGCTGATGTTACATCAGCAAAAACACTACCTTGGGCCAGAAGGAAGAGGAAATTAAAGAAGGCTATCAGCGTCCTCTCAAAATTTTACAAGCTTGCAACAGGCTGATAAAAGTCAGCTGTAAACATACCCTTGCCCTTCCAGAAAAACAAAGCAGTGACTCAGAGGGTGGAGCTGTGAGCCTACAGGATCGTCCACAGCCTTTGAGGCTCAGTAGAGATTTCTGGGTTTGATTTCAAAATTGCTAGGAACCAGGGACTCTTTTTTTTTTGCCTCCTGGCATGTCCCCTTTTAAAAACTAGAGTCTGTAATTCTTACCGTCTGTGTCTATTACTAAAACTCTGTCCGTTCCACCATTGTATTTTGGGAGCCAATATTCTTTTTTTTTTTTTTAATTTTTTTTTTTTTATTTTGTGTGCGTGTACCGTCAAATCAGATCTGACTGGTACAGGAGGATATTGCGCCTCCTTCTCCGGCAGAGCATCTGGTGGATTCGAACCGTGTTCCTCTGGGAGTGCAGTGCAGCTTCTTGCCACTAGGCCACCAGAGCTCCCCATGGAGCCAATATTCTGTTTCATGAGTTTATGGGCATGTGAATTCATTTCATCTTCACCACAAGAATATGAGTTTCACAGCTGTACATACTGAGAGAAATTTTGCCCGAAGATGGAGACCCCAGAGTCTGTCTCATCCACCTGGGACTTCTGGGCTGACAAGGGTTAGGAATTTTAGACTTGAGCTATGATGTTGTAATTGATTGAGACTTTGGGGGATTTTATTGTGTGGTGACACATTTCGCATGAGAGACTGATAGAGATCTTTTAGAGCTAGATGGTTTGTCAGAGAATCCATGTCATAGTCCTCCGAGCCGTGAATCAGCTATATCCTGTGGCAGAAGGGATGCTGCAAGGGTGTCAGGTGGGGAGAGTTAACCTGGCTTTTCCAGCTGAGTTCAAGGTCAGCACAGGGTCCTTTTACAGAGAGGTGGAAGGACCAGATTCAGAAGATATGATGAAAAAAAAAAAGAAAGAAATAGAAGTCATGTGAAAGTAAACTGTACATACTTTAGATTTTGATTTTGGATTCTTCACAAACATTTCAAGTAAGCCACTTTCAGAGCATGATATAGAGAGCCTTGGAATTACTGAGAATTTTAGAAGGGTTGGAGATCAATGCCATCTTCACAGTAATATAAAGACTTTAATTTGTCTTGTCATTATAGTTTTCACCAGGGTGTCCTCTGGAATGATATGGCAATAGAGAAGTAGAGAATAGAGAACTAGGGAAGCAGATTGGAATAGCCAGATGTTTTCATTAAGCAAGACATTAAAGAAATGTGAAAAATTTAAAAAAAAAAAAGAAGATAGGATGATGGAAGCAGAGGGTTGGAATGGGAGTTGAAGCTGCCAATCTCCTCCCAGGTGATTAACTGCCTCTGAAAACCAGCCCGAGGGTCAGTTCTGACTCAAAAGTCACACAGTAACTGCAGGTCTTGAAAAGTGAGGAAGGGGATGCAGGTAAAGTTATATAGGTGGTCTCTAGAAACTGGAAAGACCACGGGAACAGAAGTCCCTTCGGAGCCAAGAGGGAGCATGGCCCTGCCTGCACCTTGATGCTGCTAAGAGACATGCTTTTCTATTGTTCTAAACTGCCACGTTTGTGGTAATGTGTGATAGCCACACTAGGAAACCAATATAAGGTCAGTCTGGGCTTTGGGGTAATTAAGTCGGGAGGTTAAAAGCAAGAGAGAGAGGAACAAGATTAAGTCAATCTGTAGCAGAACAGAAGAACAGATATTGAAGAGTGGCTCCCACAGGTTCAAGAAGAAACTGGAGAAAGATTACACAAACCCTTGACTTCCCAGAACTGGGAGAGAGTCATCCATCCTGGTCAGGTTAGACCACTCATGACCAAGCTCATGTTCAGGGAAGAGCTTTCTTTCCAACAAGACTGTGTACATGGAGGTGGAGGTGTGTCCCACGGCTGGAGGCAGTAGGTGGACCTCCCAGCAGTGGGCATCTTCACAGCATTCCAGTTTTCCTGTGATGAGGTATTACAGTGATTCTTTGAGTCCTTTCTGTTGTTTAATGGACATGAGGTCCTCCATGCCCAAGACTAGACTTTAGGTATCCCCTGGGTCAGTGCTTCTGTCTGTAACATTCACAGACAACACCTGGCAACAGTTTGTTAAATTACATGCCCTGAACTGGTAGGTCCATGTGTCTGAACTGGTAGGTCAGTGTGGAACCCAGATGATGCCAATACTCCTGGTTTCTGCAGCAGCTTATGTGATATATTGCGTGTAGAAAGGTGTTAGGAGACCAATAATTCTGTCACCTGAGAGCACATCACAGCACCTGGAGGACTGATGGGACTACAGCCAATTGGGCCTCACCCCGTCTGAGTCAGTACATAGTAGGGGGCCTGAGAGTCCCAGAGTCACTCACGTCACTGTCACCAGATAACAGGGAGCTGCAGGCAAAGAAGTAGGCCTGGGCTGAGGCGCCCCACCTCCAGTTGCTCAGACTTGGCCTCCCAGGGGACAGCAGAGGGACAAGGGGGAGCACACTGGAACCACGCTTTGAGGACGATTGTTCCAGAAGGTCCTATTAGTGATCCATGTCTTTAGCTTAAAAAAAACCCCTTTGCTCTCAGAACCACTTGGGTGGGGTTCTCTTTTCTTCTTTGAGTTTAGTCCCCTTGTCAACCAAATGCCAAGTGCAGCCTTGGTGAGGTTTGGGTAGGAGACTTCTTGGTGTCTCTACCAGTGCTGGCGCTCGCCCGTGAACTCTCAAACACTTCCCCAGGCTAGGTTCCGTTGTGGCTCTCTCCTCGCCAGATGAGAGAGGACGTGGAGGTCAGCCACTTACCCTGGTACCAACGCTGCCAAGTGCAGAACAGAGCCCAGACCTCGCTGCCTCTACAGTGGTTCCTCTATGTGGTAACTGTGGTGCCCAGTGGTCTGGCCCAATCCTAACTAGTTGGTATTCAATTACATTACAGTATTAAATATAAGAAGCTTCCATAGGGAACCTAGTGAGCTCTGTTGGTCTAATCTGTAGGGTGTTGAGCTATTAACCCAAAAGTGATGGTTGGAATCCACCAGTGCTTCCAAGGGAGAAAGACAGCCAATCTTCTCCTGTTCAATTTAAACACTGTTCAAAAACCACTGAAGAGTCAGCTGGGAGTCAGTTCTGCCTGCTCAGCACTGAGCTCAGTTGTTGAGTTAATGTGACCAGTAATGAAATCAGTCGGTTGAACAGGGAGTTTCCTTAATGGGGTCACCTCCGCACTACAGGTACCTGGCAGGACTCTTTCTCCGTCCCTCTCCACTCTGAACTCCTTCCGACCCCTGACCTATGGATCTTGGGACAGAAGCCGTCCGTTTATCAGCAGGCAAGAGAAGAGCAGGTTGGTTGACTCCAGGTGAGCAGAGAAACACAAGCCCGTGCCTCCCTTGCCTGTCGGGTATCTTGTCCCTGGACAGAGCTGAGTAGCCTCCAGCCTGCCGCCTGCCCTGTGGCTGTGGGCTTGTCAGCCCCCGCACCGCACACATAGGCCAGTCTCTTGAAAATCTCAAGTCTCTTTCTCTCACAGGGAATCAGCCAGTGGCAGTGGGGACACACACACACACACACTCTCTCTCTCTCTCTCTCTCTCTCTCTCTCTCTCTCTCTCTCTCATCAGTGAGACCCATTCCTGTGTCTTCTGCTGGGATTTCTAAGTGAACTGAGCAGGTACATCTAGTTCCTCCTTTAGTGTAAGAAAAAGCTCAAAACCTTCTCAAGAATTTGAAAGCGGCACCAGCAGTAGATGAAGTGACTGTGATGACGTTGCCGTGAGGCGCAGCTGGTTAAGGAGCCCTGTTGGTAACAGGGGGTTAGGGCTGCACTGCTAACTGACGGGTCAGTGGTTCGAAACCAGCAGCTGCTCCATGGTACAGTGATGTGTTAGTCGGCTCCAGCGAGGTTACAGCCTCGGAAACCTTACGGGGAAGTTCTGCTCTGTCCTAGAGGGACAGAATCGACTCGGTGGCAGTAATGTAAGGTCGGCCTCCACACAGCTGGATGGTGGGCTGTCACTAAACTCACCACTTCCCAGACTCTCGCCATAGGTCACCCTCTGCCCTGGCCCGGGGGACCTGGTGTCTAAATGGTCCAGGGGAGGGCATTAAGCAAGAGGAGTCTGAGCAGGGGTTCGGGGGACACCGGCGAGAAGGGGACACTGGCTGACGTGTGCTCATCAGTTCCACTGCGGCTCTGAGGGGCTAGGTGACACGCATAGTGATCGTGTGACTGACCAAGAGTTGTAATGCCTTCTCCAGCCTCTCCAATCCCTGACCTTTACTCCTAGGCCAATGCCTCCATTTCCCAGAGGCCCCCACGATCTGCCCCCCAGACCCTGGGAACGCACCACGGGGCATCAAGCGGGCAGGACACGACCCTGGGAACGCACCACGGGGCATCAAGTGGGCAGGACACGAGTGGCTCCCCTCTCAGTTTATTTGCGGACAGGTGAGGGCTATGTCTGCTGTGCCCGCAGCAGCGCCCGCACCTGGCTGATCTGCCAGTCGACGCTGGAGCGCGCGGTGCCACCCAGGGCTCTGTACTGTTCCACGCTGTTCCCGTAGTCCCACACCCGGCTCACGTCACTGGAAAACAGGGGGCTGCGGGCAAAGAGGAGGTGGGCCCGGGCACAGGCTCCAGGCCGCCAGGTGCCCAGGCACAGCCTCCCAGGGGGCAGCAGAGGGACAGGGCGGGGCGCACCTGATGGTTTCAAGGTCCTTCAGCGACAGCTGGTTGAGGGGGACGCCCTTGGTTTCAGCCATGAACACAGCTTTGCCAGAGGCTTCATGGGCCTGGCGGAACGGCATCTGGACACAGGGTGAGGGCAGTGAGACTGACCAGGGGTCCTGAGCTCCCGGTGCTGCCCAGAGACCTGTCCACTTTCTGGGAGTCAGAGGACACTCCTCCCCCCAGGGCCTGCCCCTCACTCACTCCTTTGTGGACCAGGTAGTAGGCGAGGTCAGTGGCCAGCATGTCAGGGCTGAGTGCCTGAGCCATGTTCTCACGGTGAATCTGGAGTGGGCAGCACAGCCGTGAGCCCCGGGGACCCCGTGCCTGGGGATGCCAGCCCCCAGCCCAGGGCCAGTCTTGCCTGCAGTGTGGAGATGACGCCGGTGGTCACCTGGAGGACAGCACTCATGGTGTCTGCCACTTCAAACACGGCTTCCTTGTCTTCCTGGGAGGCACATGGCGGGAGGGAGGGCTCAGTAGCCCCTGGCATTTGTGGTCCCCATGTCCCCAACCCCACTGCCCCCTGGGGACACTGAGCACCCCTTTGCCCCTCACCAAGGGAGAGGTGAGCCCTCAGGGCAGCCACAGGGCAGGCACCCAGGATGGACATCAGGACCTCGCACCTGTAAGTCCTTGTTGTAGGTGCTTGGAAGTCCCTTGAGGGTCATCAGGAGGCCAGCACACTGAGGAAACATGTAGAGTGAGCCCTGGAGCCCACGGAAGACCACTAACCCCCGATCGGCCCATGCGGGTGCCCTGTCCCCACTCACCCGCCCGAAAACGCGCCCCGCCTTGCTCCGGATGAGCTCCAGGCTGTCAGGGTTCTTCTTCTGGGGCATCAGGCTGCTTCCGGTGCTGGGGACAGAGATGTTGGGGCAGGTCCAGAAGACCTCCCTCCCAGCCTGGCCCACTCAGGTGGGGTGGAGGAGGCAGGCGAGAACAGGGGTCCACAGGGGCCTCCTCAGCAGAGGAGGGAGGCATGTGGGAGGGGGTGGGAGTGCCGCAGGCGCCTCACCTGTAGGCGTCCGAGAGCTGCACGAAGCTGAACTCCTTGGTGCTGTAAAGGATGAGGTCCTCGGCCATCCGGCTCAGGTGGGTCATGCACAGCGACGCCCAGAACAGGAACTCCGCTGGGCAGAGGGGACAGACATCAGGGATGCTCTATCACCTGGCCCTCCTGCCCCCCAGCCAGTGTGGGGATGCCCTAGGGGAATACGCAGAAGGCGCCCACAGGGACTGGCCCCCAGGACTTACCGACAAAGTCCCGTTCACTGGTGGCGTCCATGCTGTTGAGAGTGATGGCCCCGAAGTTCAGTTCTGGGGGTTAAGGGGTTGTTGGCAGAAGGATCAGCTGGGCTGAGCTGGAGGGCGAGGACCACTTCCAGCCCCTGTCCCTGCAGCCTGGCTACCCCACCCTGGCAAGAATGGGGGGGGGTCCCACATAGGTCCTAGGTAGGAGCCCTGCCCTGGGCCAGGCCTTCTTGCCCTGCGCCCTGGTGGGGCATGCTGTCTCTCCCCTAAGGAGTTGTATCTGGCCCTCTCTGGTGTCCATGGGCCAGTGCAGTGTGACAGGGCGCCTCACCTGCTCGGAGCAGCTCCCGGTCCACACCCAGAGGGTTGCCTGCAATGGCCCCGCTGCAGGGACAGAAGGACCAGGTGAGCAGGGGGTCAGAGGCACCAGGTGTCAGAGTGACTGGCCATGGGGCTGGGGTATCTGAGTGGTCAGGGGTTGGGTGGCACAGAACTGAGGCGTTGGGGCATCAGGGTAGGGGGACCAGGGTGTTTGGGGGAGCTGGGGAGATCTTGGATTCTAGGGTGGTCAGGATATTGGAGGTTGTCAGGGTCCTGGGATGGTCCAGGTGGTCAGGGGGCCTGGGTGCCCAAGAGACAGGCTCTGACACGTGTGCACATGTGTGCGGGCACACACACATGCCCAGGAGCAAGGCTGCCTGCAGGTGCCCCTGCCTGACCCAGGCCCCTCCCTGGCCCCATCACGTGAGACACAAGAACCCTTGCCCAGTGCAGGAGGCGTGGCGGCTCTGAGCAGCCTGTGTGAAGACCCCCGTCCACCCTGCCCTTCTCCCACTGCGGGCTAATCCCCAGGCCGCGGTGCTGGCCACGCTCACCTCCCCAGGGGCAGCACGTTGACCCGCTTCCGCACCTCCAGCAGCCGCTCTGCGTCCCGGGTCAGCGCCACCGCGTGGCTGTGGGAGCAGCAGGCCGTCAGGGCAGTGTCCCCATGGGGTGCCCTTGCCGCACCCCGCCCCCTCCCGCTCACCTGAGGATCCAGTGGCTCCAGCGGATGGGCTGCGCCCTCTGCAGGTGCGTGTAGCCTGGGAAGAGGACGTCCCGCTCCCTGTGGGGGAGAAGGCCGGGTCAGTGGGCTTGGGTAGTCACGGGACCGCACAGACCTGGGGTGCACCAGGGAGCAGCAGTGCCAGCTGCCCAGCATCTGTCTACGTACAAAGCAGCCACATCTTGGCGACAGATGCATTAGAGGGAGAAGCTGGAGTGAAGCTGTGTGATCTGAAGAGGGAGCCAGAGCTGTGGGATCTCCAGGGGCCAAGGACCAAGTGTGGGACATGCCCTGTACTGAGGCCTTTTCAGAGGAGCTGTGGTCGGTGCAGGGGAGGAGAGGCACTGTGGACGACACCTGGCAGTGGGGGTGCGTGCAGATGAGGTGTGTGGGCACACCAGCCACTCAGGAAATCCCCTGCCATGGCGTCACTTCCACCCACATACATCAACCTCCGTCGGGTTTCCAGAGGTTCCATTCTCTAGGAGAGGAGACTGCCTGTCTTCAGTGGCTGTGGTTGCTGCTGTGTGACACCCAGTCAGATCCCACTCATAACTGACTCTCCAGTGGTTCTTCAGAGGCAGTAAAATGCACGGGAGGAGATTGCAGCAGCTGGTGCATTCAGACTGCATACTGTTGGGACTGGAGCACGGCTTCTCACCACGAGGCCACCAGAGCTTCCAAGGGTGGGAGATTCAAACCACTGACCTTTCTATTAGCAGCCCCACGGGTTACACATGGCCACTATGGCTCCTTGTGGAGGGCTCTGGAAGCAGCTAGGGTCCTTTAATGGGTCAGGTTGATGCAGAGATTCTGGGGTGATGGTTCTATTATTCTTTTTTTTTTTTTTAATTATTACTTTTGTGTGTGTACCGTCAAATTGGATCTGACTGGTACAGGAGGAGATTGCCCCTCCTTCTCCAGCAGAGCATCTGGTAGATTTGAACCACGTACCTCTGGGATTACAGTGCAGCTTCCTGCCACTAGGCCACCAGAGCTCCCTGGTTCTATTATTCTTCTTTAATGTAACGGCTTTGTGGTTGTCAGCTGCTGTCAAGTCAGCCTCCTAACTCATGGTGACCCTACGTACAGCAGAATTGTCCTGTCTCATACCATCCCCATGATCCATTATGGACTGGACTATTGTGATGGATGTTATCTTAGGCTGGTTTTCAGAAGTAGATCACCAGGTCTTTCTTCCTAGTCTTAGTCTGGAAGGGTCTCTGACATCTGCCCAGCATCGTAGTAAATGCACAGGCTTCTACAGACTGTGTGTGAGGTGCACTGGCCAAGAACTGGGCCAGGATTCCTATGTGGAAGGTGAGAATTCTGCCACTGACCCTCACCATTCCCATAATGTACACCTCACCTACGTAAAGGTCCAGCTCACTCAATCAGCCATCCCTTTAAACCTGCTGCTCTTGACTCTGATGCCGCATGAACCTACAGGACTGCACGGCACTGATTCGGAGGGTTAACAAGGCTGTGCATCGTAACAGGAGGAGAACGCCTCGGCTTTCTCCCTCAGAGATGGTGGACCATCCAGGGACTCTGCCCAGCCCCAGCCAGCCCTGTTCCTTCCTGGGTGTTTGCCCAGTGCCTTGACTTCTGTACTGAGTCCTCAGAGGATGAACCTTCAGCTAGGCTGGCATGGGGTGGGCAGGTTGGCATGGGAGTGGGAAGACTGGCATGAGAGTGGACAGGCCGACATGGGGGTAGCTGGCTGCATGAGGCTGGGCAGGCTGTCCCTCTCCTGGCTGCTCTCCTCTCTCAGTCCTAGAGTGCTGGGCCTGTGAGGCCTGGACCTGACCCTCTCACCCTGCTCAGGCCTCCACTTGTGGTTCCAGGTGCCCCTCTCTGCCACCCAGGGTGCCTGGGACTCACGCTTCGGCCCGGTCCACCATGCTCTTGAGGAGCTCCCGCAGCAGGGCCGAGAGGGCTGAGCAGGTCTGCCGCATCCATAGCCTGAGGTCTGTGACCACCTGCGTGTGGGAGGAGGGAACACATTCAGGGAGGACCCCCAAGAGGGGATGGCATGTGGAGGCGACAGTGGGAGGCAGCTTGTGGCACCTGGTCATTCCGGCTTCGTCCAGTGTGTAGCTTCCCTGCGGTCTCACCGATGAGCTCCTGGGGGTGCAGGAGGCATGGGTCACCCCAGTGAGGAAAGACTTCCTAGAAGCCCTCTCGCCTTGCCTCCAGGGGTCCTTCCTCCCTCTACTGGAAGGGACCAGAATGATGGGGCTTCCACTCAGAGTGGCCCAGGTGAACAGTCTTACCTTCAGCCGCCTCTCATTGGCTGTGTGGATGTCTTCATCATTGGGGAGCAGTTTGAAGGTGCCTTGGGCCCATTCCTCGGCCACCTGTGAACAGCAGCAGTTGGGGTCAGATGCAAGAAGACTCTGTCCTGTCTGACCTTTGCCCTGATCACAGCTGGTCCCCCACGGGAGCTGTGTCCACAGCAGAGGACTGACACAGTCCCACACCTGCCCATGGCCATGTGAGCACTAGTGAGTCACTAGAGGGCGACAAGTGCCCCACTGTGCATGGTGACACCATGCCTCTTGACAAGTATTCACCCCATGTGTATGGGACGAAATGGGCTGGCTCTGCACTTGGCACTTGGGAGCCTGCTGGGTGCCTCGGGCCCCAAAGCCGGACCCTGGAGGGCCATGGGCACAGCCAGTACCTTGTCCAGGCCGCGCAGGATCTGGTCCATCTCCGCGGTGGTGAGGAACCCTGCTTTCTGCAGGCCTTTGCTGTAGGCCTTGCTGCCCTGAATGTCCACCTCCCACAGGTTCCGGTCATAGGCGATGGATGCATTGAACTTCTCCATGATGGGGTCCACGGAGCCCACAAACCGGCCTCCCCATAGTTTTCCACTCTGGCCAGAAAAACAAGAGAATCACTGTGTGAGCTTGGAGCAAAACTCACTTGTCACTCAACTTTCAGCCAAACAGGCCATTCTCTAAGGTGATCAGTAACATTCCGGAGGAGAACACTCTTTGGAACCATCCTTAGAATTCCTTAAAAAAAATCATCAAACAGAAAAATCAATCATCATCAAAAGATCAAAGGAAAAAAATCAAAGGCAGCTTTTACCCAGAGGTTAAAGCTCACAAAGCAAGAACAAGGAAGAAAGAAGGATAAATGGAAACAAGGACCACAGGGAAGAAGTGGGAAGAGTGATGTCACAGTGTAGGGATCGTCACTAATGTCATAAAACAAGATGTGCACGAACGATTGAATGGAAAAGGAATTTGCTTTGCAATCCCTCACTCAAATCATAATAAAAAGTTAAACTCAAAGCAGTCACTCTGTACTAATGTGGTATGTGCTAGCGGGCTGTAACCATTAGACAGATGAGGAAACAGGTCCAGAGTGGGTCAGGAACTGGTCCAAAGCCCTCTGGGAGCAAAGAGAGGAATGTGGCATCATCCTGAGGTTAGGGACCTTCTTGTCTCATAGCGCACCTTCAAGAGATGGTGGTCGGGTCCCAGGCACTCCCAGGACCACGGTAGAACTTCTGGAACTTCCTGTCACTGCCCTGGATAAGAAGAGCTATGGTGGTGCAGAGTTAATTAAGTTAATCAAAAGGCTGGTGGTTCAAACCCACCACTCACTCGGCAGGAGAAGGTTGAGACAGTGTGCGGTGTGCGTTTGCAAGGACTCACATCCTCGGAAACTGGCATTTCCGCTGTCCTACGGGGCCGCTGTGAGTCAGAGCTGATTGGACGGCAGTGGGTTTGAGGTGGGTCTAAGATGGGAAGCAACCCTGGAATGTAGAATTCTAATCTGGCTTTGACGTGTGGTTAAGTCCTAATGCTTAGTGCATACTGCATTCTCACCGTGGGCCAGGCACTGTTCTCCTTGCTGGGCGCCCTATGACTGCTGGACAGTCCCCGACATAGAGGAGGACACCAAGGTACAGTGCAGTCATGCCACCTGCCCTCGGCAGAGTGGGAGCCCAGCAGTCTGTGGCCACCTGTTCACACGCATGTTCTACCAGGTTCGGCTCTGCATCCTGGACTTTGGCTGCAGGGACAGATCTGGGCCCCAGGAGGCACCTGAGGGCCCCACCAGGTGCTCACTTCCCGTCTCTCTCCTTCACATATTGGATGGGGCCCTGAGCCCACCCTTTGGTGCAAGGGACCCCTCTTAAACACATGCCTACCCCCAGGCTCCCTACCCACAGGCTTTCCAGGAGGTCACCAGCTGACCCCTGCCCCCGGAGCCAAGGACCAAGGCACCTGGATTTTGAAAGAGGGCATAGGTCAGGCTGTGGGGTAGGGGCCAAACCCAAACCAAGCCAGCTGCCTAGGAGGTGACAGCACCTCAGGCTGACCCCGTGTGTGCACAGTGGAACTATGCTCTGCAGGGTTTCCTTGGCTGTGGTCTTGCAGATGTAGATTACCAGCCCTTTCTTCTGAGGTGCCTCTGGGTGAACCTGATCTACTTCGTGCTATGCAGGGGCAGGCGCAGGGGTGCCAAACACTGGGGATCAGTCCAGGCGCACACGGACCGGGACATCCTGCTGGGGTCGAGAGGAGGGTGTTATTCTCCTGGCATCTCTCTGTGGGGTGAGTAGACTGGCCCCTGGGGACATGTGTCCACCTCTGCAGCCCCTGCACTGCCCCTGACCGTGGTGAGTCACCTGCCACTGCAGATGGCATCGTTGTTGGTAGGTGCTGCTGAGTCAGTCCCAACTCATAGCGACTCCACGCACAGGAGAATGGAGCACTGCCCGGTTCACCCATCCCCACGGTCTCTGCCTGCCAGGCTCCCACTTACGGGTGCGGCCACAGTGTCCATCCACCCAGAACCTCTCTGAGCTCAGCCTGGCCTCCCTGTGAGACTGGAATGCTCACAAGGCTGACATGATGAGGTTCTCATGAGCGTTTGGCGAGGTCATATATGCAAAGTGCACACATACCATGGTGCCCACGCTAGGAAGAGCTCAGGGAGCACTCCACAAGGAGCTGTGGTCTTTGCTCCACTCCTGATTCCTGTGTACCAAGGGGAGGCTCAGCCCTGTTCCTCAGTGCCCCCTCATTGCCCAGCAGCCCCAGACTTGGCCTGCAGAGGCAGCCTCTGAACTGGGTCCTCTCCTGACCCCTGGACCCTCTGCTGTTTCATCAGCTCTGCATCTCCAGTGAAGCCCCACGTGGTCCTGACACTGGCCAGCCGCTCGGGATGGGAGCTGGCCTGGCCTCTAGCCAGAGCTCTGGCACCCGACCTCCTGTAGTAAACTTCCTGCACAGCCTGCCTGGGCCATTAGTAATAACAACTGCTAACGAGCAGGGACAGCCGCCAAACCAATTAGTGCCAACCGCAGGCCTGCCTGAGGCACGCTGGGGCCACCTGTGGCCCTGGACTCCCCAAAGCAGCCTGCTCTGCTCAGTGATCAAGCTGCTTACCCCCACCACTGGTGGGTTTAAAAGGACCCCATGATGGGTGGGGAGGCCTAAGTGTTCCTGGACAGGACACTGTTCCAAATCAGGGCCCAGGCCCTTGGGGCAGAAACAGGGTAGTGGGGGGCAGTGTTGTGCTGCCATGAATAAGCAACATCCAGCTTGGGGCATACAGGATACTATCTACACTGTTATTTTGCGGGGAGCCCTGGTGGTGCTGTAGGCTTTAAACATTGAGCTGCTAACTGAAAGGTCACAGTCACTCCACCATAGAAAGATAGGGCAGTGTCCTCCCGTAAAGATCAAGGCTTGGGAACACTAGAAGGGAGTTCTACTCTGTCCTACAGAGTCACGCTCAGTGGGAGTCGACTCAAAGGCAGTGGGTGGGTGGGTGGACTACTGTTAGTATTATTTTTAAAAACAACTTTGTCATAGGTTCGATCCTGACTCGTAAACACCCTGTGTGTGCCTCAGGATATTTCAAGGATGTTTTTTAGTAAGTACATCAGCCAGGTCTTTCTTCCCAGGTGTCTCTGGATGGATTCAAACTTACAGTCTTTTGAGGATCAGACCAACATGTCAACAGCTTGCACCAGCCCAAGATTCTATTGCCTGAACACGGTGCTATTGGTTCCACCTTGCTGCAGGCCATTTCACAGGCACCATTTCTAAGCCTCAGGGCCCTCCTGCAAGGTGGACACTGTCACCCAGTGTGACAGATTTGAAGATAGAGCTTCAAAGGGGTCTAGTGACATTGGTTCGTTCATTAATCTGTTTGACTCCAAAGTCCAGACCTCCCTCCTCCCCACATGACACTGACCCCACTGACCCCGGGGGCTCACAGGATGGTCATTCTCAGCCCTTTATACAGACCAGCAAACTGAGGCCCAGAGAGACAAGTGCTTGGAATTCTGCCCTCTGGCCCCCTGTCCTGAAGGTCCCTCCACCAACCTCTAGCAAAGGGCCCCTTTAATCTGACGAGCTCAGAGCTGTAGCCCCCAGCCCTCCCCTCTTAGAGGAAAGCAGCCAGCCATCACTATTCCATTTGCCAGTGAGAACAAACGAGGCTGGAAGAAAGAAACCCCAAAGACAACCCTGGAGTTTAGAAGGGAGGACTAGCTGGTGAGAAAGGAGGTAACCAGGGGCCTGGGGGGGGGGGGGGCGGCCCTTTCCAGATGCGTGACCAGGGCAGCTTGAGGGCTGAAGGTGGGGATAGCCAAGGGGATGAAGGCTGGTGGGTGGGGCCAGAGCAGACAGAACTGTCAGGTTGGTGCTAGAGCATGGGGAGGGGGTCGCCTCCACGCAGGATCGAGTGTGATGGGTTGGCGACACGCACAGCCACCTGTGCGCGCTGGGGGCAGGCAGCGATCTGGACACCCGTGAGTCCCCGTAAGGGTCCTTCCCCGGCTGCAGCAGGTGTGGCCCGGAGGCCAAGTGCGCAGGTCCCTGCTGGGCTGGCCTCGGGACGCCCCTCCCTGCGCTTGGCGACTCATGGCTCGGGGTCTCAGTGGCCTCGCTCACCTCCGATGCCATGTTGGGCGGGTCTTCGTCGTCCGGAGCCTCGCGCCTCTGGGTGTGGAAGACAAGACAGGAGTGAGCAGCTGCACGACCCTCGGGGTCCGGGTTCCAGGCTGCGCAGCGCGGGACTCCGGGGCGCGGTGCTGTGTCCTCCCCGCCAGCAGCGCGAACTCACCCTCCTGCTTTTCTGGCCCCAGTGGCGTCAGCCAGGCCCCGCCCTGTCCCGCCTCCGGCGGTGGCCGAACCAATCGTACGTGGCCCCGATAACTGGGCGTTGCTGTTCCTGTCCAATCGTCACTGTGGGCGAGGCCACCTATGGAGGAGGAGCGCCCCCGGGTGGCATTGGGGCCACGAGGGTGGTGCCCAGTGACAGTGCTCTGGTTTGCAGACTCGGTAGTGACCGTGGACCTGGCGGGCTCACAAAGTACAGTGAGCTATGTCTGCTAACAACTCAGTAAGTACATGCTTGTCAGCTGCCCTCCAATCGATCCCCAACGCATGACGACCCCCTACGACTAAAGGCAGCCCTCGCTTTGATCCGGTGCAGATCAGACTGATGTGACCTGCACGGCTATCACTGGTTGATTTTTAAAGAGAGATTGTCAGTCCTTTCTTCCTAGTCCGTCTTAGTGTGAAAACTCTGCAGAAGCGTATTTAGTATCACAGCAACACCAGATAGGCAGACACTGAGAAAAAGAGTGAGAGACGATGCCTGTCTTCACGAAGTTAAAATACAGACTGTGCAAGGAGCGCAGAGAGGGACACAGGTGTGGGGAGACGATCTCGGGGCACTCAGGGAAGACTAAGTAACGTGATCAAGTAATCAATTCAACAAATGTCTGACTGGCCTCTGGGCACTGGAGGTACAAATCTCTGACCTGGAGGTGCTTCTGGGGAGATGTCCCCTGAGCTGCACCTTGCAAAATGAGAGATGTTTGCACAGCAGTGGATTCCTGGTGGTGCAGTGGATTAAGAATGGGACTGCTAACTGAAAGGTCTGGGATTTGAACCCTTAAGCTTCTCTGTGAAAGAGAGAGGAGGTATCTGGTTTCTAGAAGATTTACAGTCTTGGAAACCCAATGGAGCAGTTCTGCTCTGTCCTAGAGGGTCGCTAGGAGCCTGGATCCACTCCACTGGCAGTCGGTTTGATTTTGGTCAGCGCAAAAGGGGAAATGGTCATTCCTGGCAGAAGGAGCAGCTTGGGGAGGGGTTTGAGTCTTTGATAGGAGTGTCCTGCTCAGGGACCAGGTAACAGTCAAATGGCTACAAGAAGCTCATTTATTGAAAACTAATTATGTGAGGGATCAACTAATGAATTACTAAGCTAAATCTCACATGGTAATAATCACCTGTCCTTCCAATTCCTGTGATGGAAAGAAGTTTGATAAGAAGTTTGAAAGGCCAGCAAGTTGCCATACTCATAATTTGCTGAAGATGGGCCATGCAAACACCAGGAACTTTGGTGGCATGGTGGATTAAGTGTTGATTTGCTAACTGAAGGGTCAGTAGTTTGAATCCATAGGTCTCTCCATCAGGGACATATAGGGCAGTTGGCTTCTGCAGGTCTTCATAGCTTTAGAAACCTGGAAACCCATGGGGCGGTTCTGCTCTGTCCTTCAGGGTTACTACAAGTTGGAATCAGCTCACTGGCAATAGATTTAATTTGGAGGAGTTTACACATGCTTCATTTTGAGTTTGCAAGAGCCACCTGGAAAGGTGAGATTCCCAGTCTTGTTAATTATTAATGGAGACAGGTGCTGGGAACCCATCTAAGCATTCACTTTAGGAGAGCTCAGGTGTCAGGTCCCAGACTGGGGTACACATCATGATAGAGTTTTAAGAGTCAGAGAAACCCAGGGTGGAATCTAATCAGCATCATTGCTTGCACTTGACCCTGGGAAAGTTGCTCAATTCCTTTTTAGTTCAGTAAAAAGAGGGTAACCACCACCATGCACTTGGCTTAGAGAGTAAGAAATCATACGTGTGCTGTGTGTATACCAATTGTGGTAAAGTCAACACAGAGTGGTCCCCATGTAGCTCTGTGCTCCACAGGATTTTCAATGGTTGATTTGCTGGAAATAGAATACCAGGCTTTCTTCTGACTCAAACCTCCAACCTTTCATTTAGTAGTTGTGTTCATTAACCATTTGCACCACCCAGGAATTCCAATTTATACCAAAACCAAAACAAATTCTGTCAAATTTATTATGATTTATGTGACCCCCCCCCAATTGGGTTTCTGAGGCTGTAAATATTTACAGAAGGAGAGTTCCCATCTTTCTCCTAGGTTGTTGTTGTGGTGGTGGTTGTTGTTATGTGTTGTCAAGTTGTTTGCAACTCATGTTGTTGTTGTTGTTTGGTGCCGTCAAGTCGTAGACGACTCATAGCGACCCTATGAATGAACGGCCTGAGCACTGTTCATACATAGAGTTTCTGCAGGCAAGCCATTTCAGAAGTGGATGCCGCTCCTGCTTCCAGGCTTGATTTAGTTGGGAAGCTCCAGCCAACACTGTCCACCGTGGGTACCCATTACCACGATTGGCACATCACTGTCACAGTCTTCAGCATCACAGCAACCATGAGTTAGTTACCTCTGTACAGCAATGCACAGACCAGTGCTATACCACCTAGAAGAATGCTTGAAAGGAAAATAATTTGAACCTGGCCGAGGGCTGCAGGCCTGAGGGCCCTTTGGGTTTAAGGCTGCCTCCTGGCTCAAACCCTAGGTCCAGCCTGGCTTGCCTCGCTCCCTGTGACAGAGCAAACCTGCACGTCAAACACATGCCCAGAAAAGCACTCGACTCCAAAAGCTTGCCATGATTCCTGTGCTCATGCCACCATGCTCCTCCTGGCAAGGAGAACTTCCCGAGCTGCGACTCATAGTGACCCTAATACAACAGCTCTTAACCCTGATCTATCCTATGTCAACCTTATTGTCTCTGACACACCTACTCCCATTACTCCAGCCACTGAATCAATCTATCTCACTCAAGGTCTTCCTCTCTTGCACTGCCCCTCCACCTTCCCAAGCATCTCCTCTGTAGCAGCTGCTAAATTTGAACTGCCCACCTCTCAATTAGCAGTCCAGCACATAACTACTGTGTCACTGTTGTTATGTGCTGTTGAGTCAGAACTGACCCACAGCTAACCCTCCAGTGAGTTTTCCGAGGCTGTAAATCTCATGGAAGGAAACTGCCCATCTTTCTCCTGTGGAACAGCTGGTGGATTCAAACAGTGTGCCTTTGGGTTTATAGCCCAGCTCCCTAGCATTAGGTCACTACAAATCTGTACAGTGCCACTATTGTTATTGTTATGTGCCATCGAGTTGCCTGTTCCTCATAGTGACTCTATGTACAATATCTGTGAACCTTGTCCTATCCTGAGTCAATCTCACTGTATCCAACACACCTACCTCCATTACCCCAGTCACTGTGTCAACCCATCTCATCCACGGTCTTCCTCTCCTGAACGGCTCTCCATCCTCCATCCTAGTTGGAGCGAATTTATTCTCATTAAACAGTGTTTTGTTGTTAGTTGCCCCGTGGCTCCAACTCCTGGCAATTTTATGTATAACAGGTGTAACAAGAAGAAATGTTGTAGGTCCTATCCCCTCTTCCTGCTGGAATCTGTGGTTGTGAATATTGCATTGTCTTGGACTCTACCTCATTGAAGGTCTTCCCTTTTTAGTTGACCTCCGCCAAACACGATGCCCATAGAAAAAACTATGAGCTGGTCTCCCAGAGGATGGGTCTATATCACACAGTAGTCTTTCAGTGATCTATAGGAATTTCCTTGACTAATTTTTAGAAGCCAATCACCAGACATTTCTTACTAGTCTTTTTCTGGAAGCTCTGCTAAAATGTAGATGGCTCTACTGGTAGTACAGCTTGCATTATCACAGCAACACAGCTACCGCAGAAGGACTAACCAACAAATGAGTGATGATAAAAAATAACAGCTGAAGCTACTAATAAATGAAAGTCTCACCACTGGGACAATTGGCAGCACCATGATAGATGGAGAAGAGATTGAGGTTGTTAACAATTACAACTTGCTCAACTCCGCAATCAACACTCTTAACAACAGCAGTCAAGAAATCAAAAGATGTAATTGCAATGTGAAAATCTGCAGTCAGGGGCCTCTCCAGAGTGCTGAAAAGCACAGAGATCAGTCTAGAGACTAAGGTGCGCCTAATCCAGGCAATGGTCTTCACAATTACTTGGTATGCTTCAGAGAGCTGGACAATGACTAAGGATGTTTGATGCTTTTGAGCTGTGGTGCTGGAGAAGATTCTTGAACATACCATGGACTGCCAAGAAAATAAAAAGCTTGTCTTGGAGAGCATGAAATCAAGTTTCTCCATGGAGGCTAGGATTTTGAAGCTCTATCTCACATACTTTGGGCATGTGGCCAGGAGAGACTGGTCTTTGGAGAAGGACATCATGCTTCGAAGGGTGGAGGGACAACGCAGGAAAGGAAGGCCCCAGATGAGATGAATTGATACTGTAATTGGGACAATAGGAGTAGGTGTGTTGGAATTAGTGAGACTGGCTCAAAATGACAGAGTTCAGAGCTGCTGTATGTAGGATCTCTATGGGTTGCAGGTGACTCAACAGCACACAACAACATCAAGAAGTGGGCCAAGAGGGAGCTCGGGTGGCCTAGTGGCAAAGTTTTGTGCTGTCAACACAAAGATAGGCAGTTTGAACCCACCAAATATTCCATGGAAAAAGATGGGCAGTCTCATCCCATACAGATCAGTGCTTACATTTTACTTGGATCTACAATTAATACCCCTAGTAGAAGCAGTCAAGAAACAAAAAAAATGTGCTACATTGGGGAATTCTGCTGTCAAAGACCTCTTTAAATACCAATGAAAAGCAATAATGTCAGTTTGAAGATTAAGGCACAGCTGCCCCAAGTCATGGTATTTCCAGTTATTTCCTAGGTGTCTGAAAATTGAATGATGACTAAGGAAGACTGAAGAATGGATGACTTTGAATTGTGATATTAGAGAAGAGTATTGAGCATACCACAGACTGCCAAAAGATCAAACAAATCAGCCTTGACGGAAAATGCAACCAAGATGCTCCTTAGAGTCAAGGATGGTGAAACGTTCATCTCACGTACTTTCGGCCTGTTGTCAGGAGAGACCAGTCCTTGGGAAAAGACATCACACCAGGAAAAAGCAGAGGATTTGCAAAGGAGCGGAAGACCCTCAACCAGACGGATTGACACACTGACTACAAAATAAACTTTAGCATGGCTGAGATCCTGAGGATGGCGTAGGATGGGACAAGGTTCAGATCTGTTGTTCATAGGGTCCCTTTGAGTTGTAGTTAACTCAACAGCATCCGACAACAATAACAGGTCTACTAGTTAGCACTTCTTATGTGTAGATGCATTCTGGGTGTATAAGTTAAGTGTTGCTCTGTAACAAAAGGTTCCCAAGGGCAAAACAACAAGTTTCTCACTGTATCACTGACTGTTCTGAGCATTGACTGGGATTATCTAGAACTTTCTTGCTTAGGGTTTCTTAAATTATTAGGTTATGGTTATCTCAAAGGCCTAATTGTATTTAGGACGTAGACTGAGAAAATGCTTAAATGTCAGGGAGTTGGAACAGGTGGTGTTCCTCAGGCACCACTCTGTTCCTTATTCTCTCCAACATGGTATTTGCGGATGTTTTTGTGTACCATAGTGTCGGAAGTGATCCATAGCTGACCCTCTGGTGGATTTTCAGCGCATGGGAGGAGATTCCCCATCCATTTCCCATGGAGCAGCTAGTTGCCTCGAACTGTGTGCCTTAGGGATGCAGCACAACTTCTTGTCACTAGGCCACCAGAGCTCAGTTAGGGCGAAGTAGCTAGATTTCTTAAGGTAGTTATCTTTTTAAGGAGCCCCATGTTGGCCTGCTGGGTGGAGGGTCAGTAGTTCAAATCCACCAGCCACTCCTCAGGAAAAAGATGCAGTTTTTCTTATTAAAATTTATAGCCTTGGAAACCCAATAGAGTCACCATGAGTTGGAACTGACTCATGGAAGTGGGTTTGGGTTTTCAGTTTAGATGTCCTTTTTTAGATTTATTTTAATTTTTTTTATTGCATACTACAGAACACATACGTTTCCCATTAAACAATTTTTACATGTTTGTTTGTGACATTGGTAGCAGTTCCCTTAATATATCAACACTCTTCCTATCTCTTTGAGTTCTCATTTCCATTTGTCTGTCTTCCCTTCTAAGTTTTTGGGTAAATGCTTCCTTTTTTTAAAAAAAATTTTTTTTCTTCCTCCCTTTCCTCCTCCTCCCCCAGTCTTCCCCACAATGCACTCTTTATTCTAGATTGTTGTCATGTGTGTGATGCCTAATAATACATTTCTTTCACACAGATCACCCCCTCATCTGTTCTACTGCAGTGTTTGTTACTCTTTCCATTCTCTCTCCAACCCTTCCCATGTCTGTCCTTTGCATGCAGCAGTGTTATGCAATATTTTGTGACTGTTATTTCACTTAACATAGTGCCCTTGAGTCTCCCCCATATTGTATAATGTTTTACAAATTCATTGTTTTTCAGTGCTGCATAATATTCCACCATGTGAATGTACCATAGTTTTTCTATCCATTCGTTTGTTGATGAGTACTTGGGTTGCTTCCATCTCTTTGCTATTGTGAATAACGCAGCAATAAACATGGGTATCATACATCTATTTGAGTCATGGCTCTGGGTTTTTTCAGGGTATATTTCCAGCACTGGGATAGCTGGGTCAAATGATATTTCTATTTCCAACTTTTTGAGAAAGTGTCAGACTATCTTCCATAGTGGCTGCACCATTTTACACTCCCACCAGCAGTAAATGAGTGCTGATGTCTCTATCACCTCCCTAGTATTTGTAGTTTGTGGTACTACCCTTTTTGTCTCTCTAGAGTGATTGTCCTTGGGAGTGTGTTCTTCAGGGGTGTAATTATTTACTTTTAGACCTGTCTGGGAGGTAATACCTTCTTTTATCTCCTGTTTAATGGTTAAATGAACTACTGGTTTCTCCAAACTGTGATGGGATAAAGAAATGCATCCCACCCTTTGTCCTCTTAGAAACTATTTGCTTTATCAGATCCTGGGGAATACCTTACATGGTTTCCACAATGCATCATTGTTTGTTACGTGCCATCTAGTCAACTGTGGTTCTGACTCAGCAATCCTTCATTTGGTTTCTGGGGTTCTATTTTCCAGAGGAGATTGCTCATCTTTCTTCTGCAGGGCCACTGGATTTTTTTCTTCTTCTCTCTCTCTATAAAGCATCTCCTAAGAAAGACCTGTGGATCTACTGTGGAGCACGTATCACCCAGAAAAATGCAAAGGGTTCTCTTTGAGTTGGAATTGACGTGACAGCAACTGTTTGGTTATTTTTTCTGACTGTAATCAGGATCTTTTAAGATTTAATTTTTTAAAATCCTACTTTGAACATTTTCCTTCACATATTACACCATATAGTTTACTGATTTTTCATGGCTACATATACTGTGTGTGTGTATGTATATGTGTGTATACATACATATACATATCTAGATCTATTCATTCCAAACGAAACTGTCACCAAATTATTGCAATTCATACTGACCCTCTATCCAGTTTCAGACACTGTAAATTCTTAATGGCGGAAACGGCTTGTCTTTCTCCCGTAGACGGACTGGTGCATTTGAACTGCCAATCCTTGCGTTAGCAGCCCTATACATTATTCACTACACCACCAGGGCTCATATTGTATTGCTTTATCACAATTTAACAAATTCTCCATTGTTGCGCATTTTCGCCATTCTCCAGCATAAGCTTCGCTACCGATGTTTCTTTTTTTCCAAGCATCTGAAAATTCTTTTTGGACAAATTACCACAAAGGTCCCCAGGTCAGCGATTGTGCTTGCCTTTAATGTTCCCCTCCACCACCTGACTCTCAACGAATAGGGACAGGAAGAGAGGAGGACAGTGATTAAAAAAACCCCTCCCCAACTCTTTAAAAATGCTTATTCGGCTTTAACTCACATAAAGAGAAAAGCACAGAGGTGTCTAGCTCACTGAACTTTCAGGGATGGAGCACAAAAGGACAACAAACACTTGCAGGTTCCAGCAAGAAATCCCCTCTCCACCTCCTCTTGGAGTGGTTCTAGGATTTATTTTTTTTTTCCGCGCTGGCTTTTGGTTCTGTAATTTTTAAAGCCACAAAGGTCTATGGAGCACAAAAGGACAACAAACACTTGCAGGTTCCAGCAAGAAATCCCTCTCCACCTCCTCCTGGAGTGGTTCTAGGATTTATTTTTTTTTTCCGCGCTGGCTTTTGGTTCTGTGATTTTTAAAGGCACAAAGGTCTATCGATTTGGACGTGTCTTTAATTTGCTTTAACACTCCTGATAAAACCTAGACCGTGACAAGCGATGCCTGCATGCAGCTTACAGTCCAGGCTGTGCAACACCCGGACTCCTCCGCCAGGCTCCCGGCGGGCCCTGCGGCGGTCCCGGCATGCACCACGGCGGTCCCGGCATGCACCGCGACCCGGAAGTGGCTTGCCGAGCTGCCAGACGCAGGAGCGAGAGCGGCGGCGGTGCTGTCTGAACCTCATTGTTCGGTGGCACCTGGAGGCGACGAGGCGGAGACGACATGGAAGTGTAAGCCACCCGGGATGGAGGGCTGAAGGCCGAGGCACACGGGGAGGGGCGGCCCGTCGTAGGGGCTTTGTGCACCGGGACACTCAAGAATAGGCCGTGGAACCCAGGTGGGCAGGGAAGAAAGGGGCACCGGTGCTGCACTTCTGAACCTCAGTGCTTGCTGCAGGGAGCTGGGCGCCACCAAGGTCGGCTACGTTTTATTTGTGCCTTTTTCTGGTTGTTGTTGATTGCCTTCGAGTCGAGCACGACTCATAGCGACCCTATAAACAAAATGCCTGAAGCCCCTCTACAACCACTGACATTTATCAGACTTCATAGAGTTTCTCCAGGGAAGTTGTTAAGGAAATGGGTACCACTCTCCTGCTTCCAAACCTGTCATAGAATGTTATTGGTTGAGTTGCCTGCGATGCATAGCGACCCTATGTACAGCAGCTGTGAACCCTTCCCTGTCCTGAGCCAGTCTCACTAATCCTGACACACCAACCCCCTTCGCCCCAGTTACTGTATCAATCCATCCTTTCCGGGTCTCCCTCTCCTGCGCTGTCCATCCATTCACCCTTTCAAGCATGATGTCCTTCTTCAAGGACCGATCTCTCCTGGCCACTTGCCCAAAGTAAGTAAAGCGGAGGGAGCTTCAAAATCCTAGCCTCCCTGGTGGCCTAGATATTAAAACGTATGTCTGCTAATTTCAAGTACAACAATTCGAACCCATCAGCTCCTCTTAGGGAGAAAGACGAGGCAGTCTGCGTCCACAAAGATTGACAGCCTTGGAACCCCTACGGGGTAGTTCTCTTATGTCCTACAGTTGCTGTGAGTCAGAACCAACTTGACAGCAGTGGGATTATATTTGATGTTACTTTGAAACCAGAAGATGGGTAGCGACCTCAGCGTGACTCCAGAACAGCCGTGGAATGTTTAGTGGAATTGCCTGGGACTGTAGGCACGCTCCTGCAGAGTCCAGAGAAACTCCTCTCTCCTCATCTGGCATCATTTCTGCACACTGCCTGGTCTTTGGGACTTGCACTTAAACTTCATTTTCCTGAGAGAAACCTTCCCGGAGCTCTTCGCCAAGACCAGGGGAAGTTGACCTGTTGTTGAGTGTTGTATTTTTTATAATTGAAATGAGTTACTTGTATGATTACACCCAGCTTCATTAAGCAGTAAGGGACATCAGGAATTGCATCTGTTTCACAGTGAGTTTCAGACCCATCCATCGCCAGTCTGTCAGTTTGAAATGGCTTGCGTGTTGCATGATGCTGGAGGCTATGCCACCGGTATCTTAAGTACTAGCAGTGTCAGCCGTGGTGGATGGGTTTCAGCACAGTTTCCAGTCCAAGAGACACTAGGAAGAAAGACCTCAGAATCTGTTTCCAAAAATTTCTCAGGGAAAACTGTAGGGATCAGAACAAAACATTGACAGCTCCTTCTCTTGAAGGTACTCAGAATACCCAGTGATCACAGCGGTGGACCTGAGGAGACCAGCTCTAAGGACAGTGGCACACACCAGCAGTGTTTTATTTTGCTGTACATGGGGTTGTCATCAGTTGGAGCTGTGTTAGTAGCAGCTAACAACAGCCTAATACATATTTAAGGAGCTCGGGTGGCATAGTGTATGTGTCAGGCAGTTCACCAGAAGGTCAGTGGTTGAAACCCACCAGCTACTCCTGGGAAGAAAGATGAGCAGTGGAGAGTCACTGAATTGACATCCGTTCTTTACCGGTGGATTTGATTTTTCTTTTGTATCGATATTTATTGGAAGGCATTGATGAGTTTCTTCCCTCCCCTTGGTTTGTCACATTTCCTAGCCGTGTGAGAGCCCCCTTCCCAGCTGTGCTCACTAGTGGCGTGCTCATTGCTACTGCTGGTGGTTTTGGCTGCTGAGGGCTTTCCTGTAGAGAGATTTGGAGCCCAGCTCCCAGTCTAGGCGCTGTAGAGCCCGGGACAAGTATTTCCCGACTTTTGCATCTGGGTCTTCATACTTGGACATCTGAAAGAGCACTTTTGGTGCAGTAGATTGTTAGGTTGCTAACCCAAAAGTTAGTGGTTTGAATCCATCAGCTAATCCTAAGGAGAAAGATGAAGCGGTCAGCCCCTGTAAAGATTTACATCATCTGAAACCCTGTGGGCGATGCTGCTCTGTCCTTTAGGGTCATTTTCAGTTAAAATTGATGCATCAGCAGGGGGTTTTCCTGGGTCACAGGGGGAAGCACAGGTCAGTATTTGGGACTTAGAGAGGAGTGAAGCCTTGGAAGTACCAGGAGGGAGGCAGAGAAGTGACACCCTGAAAGCAGCAGGAGGAGGGCAGAGGATTGCTGGGATAGGGTCCTGCTGGGATAGGGTCCAGCTGGCATAGAACAGTGCTTAAGGGATGGGGCCCTCTGCTCCTTCCTAACTCTGGAGAGGTACGCTCACCAGGTTTGATGGAGCACAGTTAGGGAGGGGAGGTTTTGTTCAGAGAAGAGACTTCATGAGCCTGGACTAAGACTAGAGAAACAGCGTGTGTGTTGGGGGATGTGTTTATAGCAGGGAGTAAAAACCCTTTCAACAATTTGACTCTCTGTTGTCTTTTCCACATTTGTTTATTGTTGCTGCTGTTATGTGCCGTCGAGTTGCTTGCAACTCATAGCAACCCTGTGTACAACAGCCCTAAACCTTGCTTTATCCTCTGTCAGTCGCACTGCCTCTGACACACCCATCCCGATTACCCCAATCACTGATTCAATCCACCTCATAGAGGGTCTTCCCCTTCTGCGCCGTCCCTCCACCCTCCCAAGCATGATGTCCCTCTCTAGGGACCTTTCCCTCCTGACAACATGTCCAAAGTATGTCAGACGAAGCCTCAGAATCCTTGCCTCCAAGGAGCAGCCTGGTTTCACCCTCTCTAGGGTGAATCTGTTTTCTTGGCAGTCCAGGGTACATTCAGTACTCTTCTCCAGCACTACAGCTCAAAGTCATATCCTCCTTAGTCATTGTCCAACTCTCTGATGCATAACAAGTGACTGCGAAGACCATAGCCTGTATCAGACGCACCTTAGTCTCCAGAGTGACACCGTTGTTTACTATGTGCAAATGGAAGTGGTTTGTGTGTGTATATGTGTAAGTTACTGTTCTGTGCCATCGAATTGGAACCAAGTTCATACCTCCAGCAGGTTTTCAGAGGCAGTAAATTGTATGGGAGTTGATCATCTTTCTCCTACAGAGCAGCTGGTGGATTCGAACCCTGTACTTTTGTGTGGCAGCACCACTCCTTACCACTAGGCCATCAGAGCTCCACATACTTCTGTACCTCCTGCGTATGGATTTTTACATGGTTGTCATTAAGATATATCTGTATATGTTCTCTGAACATCCTGCTGTCAGGGCGAGTCCAGGTCACAGTGACCACCTGTCGGGTTTCTGAGGCTTTCAGTCTTTTCAGGAAAAGACTGTCCATCTTTCTCCCATGGATTTGAGCCTTCTTCCTTTTGGTTGGCATCCTGACTTGCCAGCAGGATTCTCTGTTGCCCCAGTTTTTAATACACGTGGTTTCCTTTATGTTTGTTCACTTCATTATTCAGGCTTATATTTATTACTGTTTTTCAGGCTTTTGATTTTAATTTTAATACACGATTTGTTAATATTTGTCTATTGTGAATGGAAAGAAAAGTTTCATGAGATAGTATTTAAAATAGCACAGCTGTTAAGGCACTTAGCTACTAGCCCAGAGACTGACGTGGGGAACCTGTGTGCAGTTCTGCTGTGTCCTGGAGGGTCACTGTGAGTCAGAATCGACTTGATGGCAGTGCTTTGGGCTTTTGGTGTTTGGTATGCAGTTCTCTTTGATGCTCTCTCTTCTCATTTTACAGATTGTTGACATGACACACTACGTTGATTTCACACCCCATCTTTTATTGTCGTTTGGTGCCATCAGGTTGACTCTGACCCATGGTGACCCTTTGTGTGACTGAAGCAGTGCCAGGCCTGGGCCCTCCTCCCAGTTGCTTCTGTAGCTGCATCTCGTTGCAGGTCTCCGTCTTTTTCCTGGCTCCACTTTACCAACATGAGATCTTTCTCCAGAGACTGAGCCCTCTAGGTCTATGATGGGCCCTTTGCATCAGTTGGTTCCTCTTTGCCAGAACCTTTTGTTTACAGAGAGGCCTGTTTTGCTGTATATATCTTAAATATCTTGAAGTATCCTACTCTCTCATCCTCCTGATTGTTTCTGGTCCCTGGCGGTAGGACTTACAGGAGCTGTTTGTGTTCCCACCTGAGCCATGGACTTCATCCTCCCCCATGTGGAGAAGGGCCTCTTGTGAGGATAAGCCACGCGGAGAAGGGCCTCTTGTGAGGATAAGCCACGTCTACCTTATCAAATCCAATGTTTGATTTACTGCTTTTAACTTTCTTGATCTTTCAGTAGCAGTGACTATACTTGTCTTCTCCTTCCTTCTAGAACTCCTTCTTGGCTTTTGGATGCTTTTCTGGATTTCATCCTACCTCAAGGACTCCTTCCTTCTCCATCTCTTTTCTTGGCTCCACCAACTGCTTTTCTAGGCTTTTCATGCTGAAGTATCTCAGGTCTTGGCTCTAGACTTGTTCTCTTAGACTCCCTCCTCTTAGGCTTGGTTCTCCGGAGAGGCAAAACCACTGAAGGTTTATATGTGTGTTGTTATGTGCCGTCGAGTTGGAACCGACTCATAGCTGACCCTCCTGCATCTTTCCAGAGGCTGTGAACCCCACAGAGCAGCTGGTGGTTCGCACTGCCTGCCTTTGGGTTGGCAACACAACTCCTTATCACTAGGCCAGCAGAGCTCTCTGCATAGATGCATGTTGTCTGAAACTGATTGAAGGTACAATCAAGATCCTTTAATAATAATTGGTGACTGGAATGCAAAATTTGGGGACAATGGAGAAGGACTGAAGAATCTGGAGGTCATGAGCCAGCATCAGACAGAAAACTCTAGCTTGGCCAGAGTTAAATCATGTAGTCAGTGCAGGCCATGCTCCTGAGGGGACTTCTCCTTCATCCTGTCATATCCTTGTAGAACCATCTCTAATCCTGCTTCAGTGACATCGGACAGGTTAGGATTTACAGCACACCGGAGAGTGACATTATACTGAGAATTGTTGCCATGGTGACACAGTAATAACCATCACACTCACTGTATGCTGATAATTCCTCAAATATTTGCCTGCCTTAAAAAAAAAAGTCAACAGAAGCCCAGGGCTCAAGAGAATGTATCCTTTTTAACTTAACAATTTCCTCTTCAGCCATTCAGAAATGAGTCTTCTTTTTGTCTCTTCCACTCTGGTTTCTTTCTAATGTAAATAGCTACGATTTGTCAAAATAGTTTGCTTGTTTAGTGCCTTTACCGAGTGTGTCAGGTCCATCAGGGCGGGGATGGCATCTGTCTGGTCAGCACACAGGTGCCCGTGTACACTGCAGGTATTTGCTGATCTCCGTTACACGGTGCTGCCTTAGATGCATACGTACAAACGAGTCCACTAGCTTTCTCCACGGTGAGTGTATGGATTTTCCCAAGTGATGTGGTTTAAATCAAAGTATTGTCAGGATTGCCTTCATCTGATGTCTGGAAATACTGAGGTTTAGACAAGTTATATACCGATTTAATTTAACAGTTTAGAAACAGGCGTGGAAAGCAGCTACTTCTCTGCTAGCTGTGGGTTCCGTTGTTTACATTTGTAACAGGTTGGATTTGAGCAATTCTGTTCATCATTGCCTTGGCCGGAGTTAACTGGGGGGCAGCTGACAGTCCCTGTTTGCTTGGGCTTTGGGATGTGCGCACATCCTGGCTTCCAAGGGGAGTCTG